TTTGGGAGCTGTCCCTTATCAAAAGAAAACATCTTTAAATCAGCCTGCATGAATAGTTTCTCTGTGGCTGCACCACAGAGGTGAACAGAGAGATGGGGCCTCATTTGGGAAAGCACCGCAACACTTAATTCTGTCTTATTAACAAGCATTGCCGCTACACTACTGTATTTCACACTTGCATGTAAGATCACACTATACACAGCGTCTGTATTTTTATTATACTGCAGGAGTAAAGATTCAATGAGCACAAGGACACTATTTAACAAACAAATCTTGAGTGGATGAAAACATGTAACCTAGAATAGTCACGGATGTCGGAAAGGCATGCTGTGGAATGGCAGGAGAGTGAATAAAGACCCTATGCATAGTGGCGGGATGGGGGTTAGCCCGTGCTCAGCTGTTCAGACAATGTCTGTATAGAAACCTATGCCCTAAAGCCATGGATGTGGGGCGATCTGGTGCTAGGCGGGTCTCAGGATATCTGAACCTCAATGCTGAGCGAGGAGGAAAGCGTGACCCAGAAATATTTAGCCCCAGACAAAGACACACCAGAAGGACAAACAAAGCACAGGAAACTAGGGACGGGGCAGAGTATGAGCGCCATCTAGCTGTAGAGGGCATGACATTTGTATGTGCTTCCTAGTGTTCAACGGAAACGTAAACACATTTTTAATTTGATTTCACTTTGTGGCGTTAAACAAATAGAGATTGTTGGCCTAATCTGGCTGTGTTTTACTCCCACCATTCATATAAACACCGAAAGACGGGAGTTTGATTCCAGTCAATTTGTAACTTGTACTGCTAACAAATATGCCTCTTGGTTTTCATTTGGAGATAACTAATATGATAAAATGCATCTGGATTACTCTGTACTAAGCTAAATGCTTCACATACAGTATTTCATTGAAAATATCAGTATTACAATTGTTAGGAATAGAAGCAATTGTGTTTGTTAGTGAAACACTTTTGGAAAGTAACCTCTTGCCACAACACCAAAGCTTTATGCTACTTACAAATGTGCTTGATGAAGTCTGCACTACAGAAGAGTAGTATCAAAAGTTCTACATACTGTATTATAGGAGATTGTTCTATATAGGAGAAACTATAAAAGTTCTAATACGTAGGTACAAAATCCTGATTGAGAGAAAAAAAGCCCTACATTTTTTCCCTTGTCACAGTAGATAGTCTGACACCATGACTTAACAATCCATAAGACAAATTATGCCATAAATAAATAAAAATGCATATTTAATTTATTACAAAACCACTAACATCAACACAGCCCATGCATATTTTTCAGTTTCAAAATGGTTCCTACCAAGAGTTTTCTGTACATAAGATAGGGGAACCTGTCTTTTCTCTTTTTCTTGTTCCTGATGTGCAAATCATTGTAATAGAAATGCATACCTGAAAAACAACTTTTTATTGTTTATTACAGAAAACACGAGAAGCCTGTGCACGATTTCAACCGCACATCAGACTTCTGTAATATTTGAAAATATTTGTATGTGGTAAGTAAATACATTTTGAAGACACTATCTTCAGTTCTTCATTTAA